GAATACAGGGCCATGGCACATGGAGTTTCTGAATTATTATGGCTAAAATCATTGATGGAAGAACTTGGAGTTGAATATGACAAGCCAATGATGTTTACTGTGATAATCAGGCTGCCATCAACATTGCTCACAAGCCAGTGCAACATGATAGAACCAAGCATATTGAAGTTGATCGACACTTCATTAAGGAAAGGGTCTCTTCGAGTGAAGTGTGTCTTCCTTTCATCACATCTGAAGGACAGTTGGCAGATTTTCTCACCAAAGGCATTCCCAAKGCAAAACTTCAGCATGATACCAGCAAGCTTGGCATGATTGACATCTATGCTCAGCTTGAGGGGGAGTGTAGAGAAGATGGGCCGAATGGCCCATAGGTTGCTTATTCCTTCTTGTTATTTATGTTTTTCTGTAATGGGCCTTATTTTGGGCCCATCCTGTCTATATTAAGTTTTTTGTAAATACTTGCCCAACTAAGAGCCTCCTTGTAATTATTCAAACATATCTTAATAAAATAGTGTTAGGGTGCTGAGAGAGGGTATGTTCGAAACTCTCATTCTCAGACCCTCATTGTTGAACTCTCAAGCTCTCCTCTCTTTAGTTTTCTTCAATTTTAAACCCTAATTACATGTCACAAAAACATTTTTGTCTGTTACGAGATTATAGGTTGTAATTATAGGCTGTAAATATGTAGTATTAGCCCAATTAGGAATAGCTTGATTATAGGAATTATTCTTAGAGTAGGTAGTTGATTTTCTTCCTTTTTAGTATTAGTTGTTTTTCTTCCTTTTTTAGTATCTACAAGGCCGTATATATATGTACTATTTTCTTAGTTGAAAGATATATCAATTTCTTCTAATTCTTGTTCTATCACATTGTCATTATGAATAAATTTATTTATAAAATTAAAGGTTGGGCCAACTGCTTGTATATTTCTTTACCAATTGCTTTCTTCTTATCCATTTTTCTTTGCCTTCCCCTTAATGCTGAAATCTCTATGTTGTGACATAATTAATGCTTTCTTTCTTGAAATTGTTCATGTTATTTTGCTTGAAATTGGTAATTGATCTTTAAAATGGTTTGGTTCTTAAATATCAGTTGCATGGGTCTACAAATGATGCTAAATTTGATATTAACTTATTGGAAATAAAATGTAGAATATTAACATCAAGAACAAATAACTGAAGAAAAAGAAAAAAAGAAAACCGCATAAAAACAACACACACATTTTACTTTCAAAAGAACATACTTTTTTGTGGACATTGAGAGCTTTGCAAGCATGAAAGCACTCCATTTCTAGATCCAAGACCAGGTCAAGATCAAGTTAGCTTCATAATATCATACTTGGTGATGATTTTCCATGTAACAAACAAACAAATCAAAGTAGAAAACACATTGTTCACTGGTCATTCTGACCAAAATCAAAACTTAAAATGCAATTCCAAAGAAAGAAGAAACTTACGAGTTGTTTCTAGAAATAGAGCTCCTGAATAAGTTTCTGCAGGACATAATATAGAGTGAAACATAAAGATTTTTTTCAGGAAAACATCTAAACAATAGTATTTTCAACATTTATTCATTAACCATGAAATGACTGATTACACATCTTGAATTCAAAGATCTGGATGATTTGTTTTTTGTCAACTTTAAACCTCATACATGATAACCAGTGATGATGTTGTACTTTTTGGTTTTTGTTCTATCTTTCTTTACTGAAATGTCTTTACCTGTTTTGTAAACACCCCTTTTTCTGTTAATGAATCTCTTTCCATTAATGAGAAAAATAGAGACTTGTCTCTTAGTTATGGAAATATTTCATCACAATATTTAGAACTATAAATAACCTAGCATTACAAAGTTTTCTTACATGCCCCTTTCTTGACAATCTGGTATGATTGAGCTGTCTATTGTAAAGTTCTTGTTGTAGGAGAGATCACTGCATAGAAAAGAAATTAGAGCAACTATCACACAAAATTGATAGCAGTAATAAAAATAGAAATAATAAATTAATAGCAACAATAACAAATGATGATGAACAAAATTATTTGGTAAAATAATCAAATTCTTGAAAAGATGAATTTACATGTATCTTCCATTATCTAGCATCTGCTTAGGAACAGGACCATCCAGTAAGTTTGCAGTTAGAATCCTGACCAAAATCCATATCAATGATGTGTAACTGAGCACTAACCAATTAAAAGTCCCTCTATGAATTTCTTATAAAACAAACTATAGCTATAATATTAGATAACATACACATAATCTACTTCCGAGAGTCTGTTAAAGCTGCTATTAATTTGCCCCGTTAGCTTGTTAAAACTGAGATCTCTGTAGAAAAACAGGGAAACTAGAATAAGAAACAGGTTTGGTGCAACAAACTTTTCTAACCACTTGATTTTCATCAATGTTTACCATTTGCTGAAAATTTGAAAAAAAAAAAGAACCAGCATATTTATCATTAACTATTATTCCATCCTTTTGGTATGAGTCAAATGCTTGTAAAAGAAACAGAAGTGCTAAAGAGTAAAGACAAACTTTTGTATGTGGAAAAAAGAAAGAACAAAAAATTTTGAAGTTATGAACTGGTGGAAGTAAACATGGACCAAATTAGTAAAAAATGATTTAAGGAATTATAATTTACCAGGAAACATGGCTCTTGATAGACATGAATGGCAAGAAAGGATTTATGTAGCCAACCCCTAATTGTTAGGATTAACGATTGAATTGAGTTGATTTGAGAATAATATAACACAACGAGAGGATAAATTATAATCTCAAAGATTCTTCTTAGAAGTTAAAATAGAAAAACTGCATGACTATGAGTTCCAGGAGCTGTTATCACTTCTTGAAGAAGTTAATAGATGAGATAAAATGCAGAAATTTGGACTGTTTCTCTGAGTTCTTTTTTTTAACAAACTGGTAGAGTCAAGAGGTGCTAAATGCCATTAAAAAAAAAGAGGTGCTAAAGTGGCATGAAAATGGATCTGGAAATTCAAGATGCCTTCAAAGTTCAAAGATCCCTTTTTTACTTTGGATTGCACTTCTGGATAGGATTCTCACTATTAATCACCTATATTCCGAAGGAATGATGTTGGAAAACCTTTGCTGTCTTTGTGGTGAAGAGGAGGAATTGGTTCAATGCAATTTCAATCAGAGAAGCTGGATACACTTCTTAAAATTAATTGGAAAACTATGGGTGATTCCAAGGGACCTAAACACTCTTAATTCTTCCTGGATGTCAATAGGATTCAGAAAAAGGGGCAACATCTTGTAAAAGATTGTTCCATTGGTTGTATGTTGATCAGTCTGGTATGAGCAATACTGTTCACAAGAAGAACAGCTTGAAAGCAAACACACTTTAAAGGGAGCAAATATTTGAAAGAAGCAGTTATTGGAACGATGGAGAGGCTGCTTATTTGTTGGACAAATTCCTATAAGGGTTAGCAGGCTTCCAATGCCATAATTTCTGTAATCACTGACAGCAGATTATAGGGGGCAATGAGTTTGCTTTTTAAAGGGCAACTTATGTATATAAAATCTTATACAATAACTTGAAGGTTAGAAGCTTATCCCTGCTTTTATAAAGTTTGTTGTCTAAAAGGAATCTTTACCTTTTATAATACAAATTTCAAAAAAAAAAAGGAAAAAAAAGGAGAATTTGCTATTTAGTATGAAGAGGACCTATCCTTTTCATTATTTTCAAGCCACAGCTTCCATGTTTTACGCTATATCTTGCTTAAGTTTGCTTATATGTTTATGTGGATCTTCATTTTTATCTTGTTGTTTCTTTATTTGGTCTTCCTGACTTTTTGCAAGAGGAGGGGACATTGGTAGTGCAAATAAATTGTCTATTTATATTGTAGTATCGATTTTCTTTTTCATATTAATTGTAGCTGGGACAAGTGGACAAGCATTGGGTAATAACCCTATTGACCATTTATCTTAAAAACTTCACACTTTCTTCCCATGAATGGTACAAGGTTTCCACTGGTTAGATAGATAGATAGATAGATAGATAGATAGATAGATAGATATATAGAGAGAGAGAGAGAACATACAATGTAAATAGGTTTGTCATTCCCCCAATATATGGAGGTAATTCTCCAGCAAGGTTGCAACTCCTTAATATCCTATAGTAAGAAATCAAACAAGTACCAGTTAAAACAACCAAATGTTACAGATAGTCTTACTTCCATAGATTCTGAGAGCTGTTAAATATCTCAACTCACAATGTCTTCAGGCTTTTCATCTCATTTAATGGCGGAAATGATGCTTCTGGTCCATTTATATCACTGATCCTCCTGGTTATGAAAATTTCACTCAGAATAACTACCATAAATTGGTCAGCTAAAGATTAAATGAGAAAGTGCAATTTACTACGAACTGTCTAAAAGAATGTGATGCAAGGCAGCTTTCAACTCACAGATTAGTCAAGTTCGCTAAAAGAGAAATCTCTGAAGGGATGGGTCCTTCAAAACCACTTGCTTGCATTTCTCTGTTGTTAAGCAAATATCAGTTACGTAAATGAGAATGGAAGAACCTTCCTTGAATTCCAAATTTTTAAATGGTAATCAGACTTTAAATGCAGAAACTCTTACAATCTCATAAGTTTTGTCCAGTTCCCTATAATGCCCAGAATCTTTCCACTGAATTTGTTATCATTTATCCGACTGCAGTGTATCAAAGTAAAATAAGAATGGTAAAACAAAAAAGAGTTTTTGAGAAGGAAAAAGAGGAAAAATAAAAGCTCAAGACATGAAAATGAAAGTTGTCAAAATTTTATAGAAACCTACAAGTCCTTCAAATTGGTCAGTGCAGAGAGTCTTTCTGGAAACTGCCCCGTGAAATTGTTCGAGGAAATTACACTTGAAGGATACAAAGAGACATGATCAAACCTTTTAATATGGAAATTTTAGAAAACCCTATTAATTCTAAGATTCCATAAAGAATGCATAATGACGGAAAGGCCATACAGTCTCTCTAAGTTGATTAGATTCCCAAGCTCTGGTGGAAGAACTCCAGACATGCGATTAGCCTCCAGGATCCTGAAAATTCGAACTACATTGTATAAATAAAGTTGAATAATTAAACAGATTGAAGCACGGAAGGAGAAAACAAAACTTACAGTTCTCTAAGAGTTGTCATACTCCCTAGTTCTTTCGGGATTGATCCCGACACACGGTTCCCAAAAATCGAGCTGCAGTAACACCATTTGATTAAATTTAGACAAGAAAGAAAGGTAGTTGCTGAAGTACACCATCAATGTGATAAGAAGCGAATGGAAGGCTTACATGATCTCTAACCGCATAGAACCCCATCCTGGAGGAATGGTACCACTAAGGTAATTGAAGGTGAGATCACTGCAAAAGAGAGACAGAAATGAGTTTGCAGTTAAGCTAGCTAATACTGAAATTGGCAACTAAGGGATTTCAGGTGGAGAAAAGGCTTCAATGAAGAGTGGGGGATATGGGAAGCTCTTACATTTCTTGCAGGTATGGGAGCTTAACCAACTCTGGCGGGAGCACTCCTTGTAGACCCTGAGACTTGAGGAGTCTGCAATCCGAATCAAAGGAGGTTTAGACATGAGAAACTGCCCATAAACTCAAAAAAAAAAAAAAAAAAAAAATCTGAAGAACAAGGAAATCAACATCATTTCTTGCAGGTATGGGAGCTTAACCAACTCTGG